TATTTTTACCAAATTACATAATTTTAGCAACCACAAAGATAATTTTTGCAATTTTGTCAATTTTTATGCAATTTTACACTTTTTAAAGCTTTCAACTAATTTGTCAAAACATTTTTACATAAACAAAAGCTACAACTTTTGATTTTAGCAAACAACTACCATTAGTTTTTTCAAACACATTCTATGTTTCCACAATAGGAAGCTAGAGGCTCAAGTGTATAATTTCATAAAAAAAATGTTCGATGTTTAACGTACGTCGTACGTAACATAATGTTAATGCTCTTTAATATGAAATTTTAATGGGATCGTACGTTAAGAGTAAGATGTAAAGTTTATTGTCTTTACATTACTACCATATATAACATATACCAATAATGTTTTTGTAAAAAGGAATGTAAGAAGCATAGTCTAGTCTATGGACTATATGGTACTATCATCCTACCCTTGCATCAACAGAAAGATACAAAAATAAGATTCAAAATAACATTTTTTTATATTACTTTTATAATAATTCTACCCTTTTTCTGTTTTTATTTGCCAAATTGCCTTAAGAACAACCAACCCATGATTGCCAACTCCTTTTACCATATATTACACGTCTATGTTGGCACGCACCCCACCTCCTTTATAAATCCAAATCTTTCCACCATTTATTTCTCCCAATCATCAAAATAAATGCTCATTAATCATGTCATCACATAAACGTTCCTCTTCATCTCCGATCACCGCCCATCGCCGCACCCCCCTCCACCACTCCACAGCACCACCTCCACCACCACCAGAACCACCACATCTCCCCTCCAAACCCAACCTCACCACCACCCTCTACCACACTCACATCGGTGTCTTCGCTGTCACTTGGTCCAGGACACTCTTTGGCCGTTCCCTCTACATCCATCTCCCTCCCGTTCTCCACCGCTCCCACCACCTCCGATGACGATATCACCCCCACTTCCACTTCCACCTCCACCTCTTCCTTCCACCTCCAAATTAAACCTTTCATTTTCTGGAACAAATATGGCTCCAAAAAGATCTCAATCCCCACAAACCCCAACGACGTCCTCCACATCTACTACGATCTCTCACGTGCCAAATTCGGATCGGGTCCCGAGCCCATATCAGGATTCTACATAGCCGCCATATTCTCCGGCCAAATGGCACTCCTCGTCGGAGACTCCACAAAACATGCCTACTCCAAAGTCAAATCCACAAACCCTGATAAAACCCAGATCACCATTCTCCGACGAGAGCATGTTTACGGCATCGCCAACAAAAAATACAACACCAAAGCGACTTTCCGGGGGAAAACTAGAGACATAACCATTGACTGTACACGAATCGCCGGTGGTGACGACTCCAGATTATGCTTTTCCGTCGATAACAAAAGGGTATTGGTAGTAAAACATTTGAATTGGAAATTCAGAGGGAACGAACGAGTAGAAATGGATGGAGTTCATATTCAAATTTCGTGGGATGTGTACAATTGGCTATTCGAAGAAGAAGTAGACGATGGATACGCATTGTTCATGTTTAGATTTGAAAAATCTGGATTCGATTACCATGAAGATGACAAATACTTGGCTCGATTAAATGCATCTGGATCTGGTCTGATGGGATTCGGATCAGGGTTGGGTTTTGGGCTCGAGAAAAGGAAGATGAAGAAAGGGATGTTGAGGACGGCGGCCGGAAGTTCATCCTCGTCGTCGTTGTCGTCGGCGTCGTCGGGATGTGGATCGGTGATGGAGTGGGAAAGTGTGGAGGAGAATGAACTAAAAGGCCCTTCTGGTTTTTCGTTGCTTGTTTACGCTTGGAAAAGTTGAGCTCATTCATTTTATTTTTATTTGGGATTATTTTTCAAAATTGAGATATTTTTTTATCTTGATTTTGTTGGTTACCATAAGGCTTGATAGTTTTATAATATGTTGCTATCAAAGCTATGTGTAATTCTTTTTTCTGTATAATTTTTCGGTGTTCGACTTTGTTGCTAATTTGTCAAAGAAAAAGTTGTAAAAGTAGATACTTAGTTGAAATATATGCATGTATTTTTTGTATTTTTAATAGTGAGCAATCATCTTTTATATTTTTTTGACATTGACATTTGTTATTTATTTATTTATTTATTTTTGTTTGTGAATCCGATGCAGGGGATGATGAGAGTGATGCTCAACATGTTTTGTTTGGACGGAATAAAAAAAATAAAAAATTAGAAAAGAAAGAATAATGACCTTTTAATTAGTTGTAGGTTGACAATCTAATTGGTTTTGGTTGTCACAAAACAATCATGTTGATTTGCTGGTTTGTTTCTTTTTATAATTCATATGGGAAAGAGAATTTAATCATGACTAGACGATGTCCTACATAATTACCGCCGTGACTGGCTTTACAGGCAGTAAACACCATCCCAACATTTTATTTTGTGGATGGTAAATTTTATAGGTAATATTCCACCGGCTGTAAATTATGATATCTAACTATTGATTGGTCAATGGAAATTTAAGGTTTTTTTGTTATTTTTTTTATTTCAGGATAACATAGCATCACACCTCACTTATAGGTAAATTGTGCCAAAATAGTAAAATTCTACGTGGCGCCTATGTGTCACATTTTTACCATTGATAAAACCGCTTCCATACCCTTTAGCCTAATAAACTAGTAGGTATCTCGGGCTTTGTCCAAGACGTTTTCTTAAAAAAACTTGAAATCAATGCATTTAAAACAACAAAAAAAAAAAAAAAAAAAAAAATCAAAAGTGGACCATTTCTATAAGTTTACAATTAGACAGTGACATTTCTAACATAGGGATCATATTTGTAAATTTCATATTAAAGTAGGGACCATTCATGTAAATATTTAAAAACATTTGGTAACAAATGAATGGTAAAGTTACTATTCATAAACGGGACAGCCGATTAAAAGCTAAAAGCTATGAAACTTTCTAAACGAACCAAGGCCTATATAAATTTACAATTAAACAAGGACCTTTTTACAATGTACGAAACATAGGGACCATATTTGTGAATTTCGTATTAAAGTAGGGACCATTCATGTAAACATTTAAAAATACTTGGTAACACATAAATGGTAAAGTTAATATGTATATTAATGATTTTTGCTTAGACGTAACAATGGGGTGTTCTTTATTTAAGGTCCAAAAAAAAATTTATTAGCAAAAATGGTCCATGTGGTTTGCCAATTTAAAAAAGACAAAATTGCAAAAATGGTCTCTGTGGTATGCAAATTTTTGGGGTTTTAGTCAAAACCTCGAGTTTTTTGGATTCATGGTCTTTTTGGAGTGGTTTGTATGTGAAAATAGTCCCTCCGAAAATTGAAATGACTATAATACCCTTAGGGTATTTATTTAGACAAAATTGCAAAAATGGTCCCTGTGGTAACCACGAGTTTTTTGGATCCATGGTCCTTTTGGAGTGGTTTGTATGTGGTTTTGGTCCCTGGACTTAACTCCCGTTAAGTAGGATCTGTTAAGCCCCCTCATGTGCCTCACATGTGAGGGTAAATTCGTCATTTCATATGTTAGGGACCATTTTTGCATAAACGTTTTTTGGCTTAATTCCTCCTTAACCCCTCATTTACTTACCCCAACACCCGTCAACTCCCCAACTCCCTCCTTCTTGCTTCTGCTCCATTGAACCTGCAAAAAACCCTCGTTGCTTATTCAAACTAGGTAATCGACGCTACACATGCAAGGCCATACGTTTAATACGAAATGGTGTTCGTAATGTGGCATATCAGACCAAAACATGAAGTTGTTGATGTATCAGCCGTATATGGTAAGTTGCTATGTTTTCTTTAACTTTCATATTTTGCATTTTCTTATTGATTTAGAACAAAAAAATGCTAAATTTTGACTTTGTTAATATGTACAATTTTGATTTTTAGCGGGTGCACCCACATGGTTTAGTATTAAGCTTCATCACGGTGAGAAATTTACTAAGTTACCTGATATAAAGTACATTGGATGTGAAGTGCGTTATGTTGATTATGTGGACATAGATGAGTTTTCTGTACATGAACTTGATGCCATAATGCTGGACCTAGGTTACCCAGACCCACGGAATTCTGAATTTGCTGATGAATCCCCAGTAATATACTACCATTTTAGGATACCCAATGGTGACTTTCAGTTTGGTCTTAGAGCTTTAGGGGATGATCAAGATGTGATCAACCTTTCTAAATACATTGCACATAACAAGCTGATTGAGGTGTACACAGAGCATGGGAAGACAAGTTTACTAACTTACTTCATGTCACCAAATGCAAAGGGTAAAGTTGTCATTGAGGAATTACCAGAAAATGATGATCAAGAGGCTGAAGTTGAGGGTCAAGTTCATGCAGATTCTCCATCGAAAAATATGAACCATGGTAATGGTGAGCCTATTGGTGAGTTCATGTCTCTGATTCTTTTTGGGAGTAAGAATGATAGTTTCTCACCAGAGTATACAAGGGGTAGAGTTGGGAATTCCAAAATAGGTGAAGGTTCTTGTAGCAAGAGGCTTAATTTAGATTATATTGATGAGGGTGTTCACATTTCAAAGGAAAAGAATGATGATCAGGATGGTTCAACTGATGTTCAGGAGTCAGCAACTTCTTTTCATATGGATGAGATGGATGGTGTTAGGGAGGCTGCAACTATTGTTGAAGAGGCATCAATTGTTGATGAAGGATGCTACAACACCCCTTGTTAATAATGGTGATCAACAATTGAATGATTTATTTGGTAACCTTATGGAAAATTTGATTGGGAGTGATGAGGATAATGCAGAGTATGAAGGGGATGGAGAATCTGAAGAGGGTAATCAAGAGTATGAAGAGGATGATGAATCTCAAGAAAGTGATCCACAGTATGAAGAGTATGATGAATCTCAAGATGAGAAACAAGTAGAAGATGAAGATCATGTGGATGACATACTGGATGTTGACAATAATATTCAGGATGTGGATGTGGACATGGGAGACTTCACTCTCAATGTTGAAAGTGATGTGGAAGGTTCTTGTATAAATGTTGTTCATGGGCATGAACCTGCAGATATGGAAGTGATCAACAATGAGGAATTTGAATCTTTGGATGAAGGATCTGACCAAGACAGAGAGAAAGAGCTCTTATCAAGAATTTGAGAAAAAAAAAGGTGCAGTCTTGGGGCAGTACATAAACAATCATTTTTAGTTGGAGATAAATTTAATAGTAAAAAAGAATTAAAGGAGGCAATTGATCCGCATGCACTAGAATCAAGAAGGAATCTTTTCTTTAAAAAAATGACAATGTAAGGCTTAGGGCACAGTGTAGAGGAGTTGTACCTGTCACCAACAAAGGCCAAGTGGGTAGTCAAGCTACCACTTCAAAAAGAAAGGGTAAAGAATTAAAGACACAAAAAGTAACATGTGGTTGGTATATTCATGCATGTAGGTCAAATCCTGAATCCGACTGGTTTATAAGGACCTTAAACCAAACTCACACATGTTTGCAAACAAGGAAACTCAGGGCTTGTACTGCTTCTTTAATCAGCAAGAAAATCTTTGATCAAGTTGAGGCAAATCCAGATATACCTTTGAGAGCCATACAAGATCACTTTCAAAAGACCTACCAGGTGGGTGTTACTATGTACAAGGTGTTCAGGGCAAAGGATAAGGCAAGAAAGCATATAACTGGGGACTACACAAAGCAGTATGAACTGTTGAGGGACTATGTTCTCGAACTTCAAGCTACCAACCCAGACACCACAGTGAAAATAGATGTATGTTCTGAGCCTAACCCTGATTCCCCAACCAGGCAGTTTAGAAGAATTTATGTGTGTTTGGGTCCACTAAAAAAAGGTTTCAAGGCATGCCTTAGGGACTTATTAGGTTTTGATGGTGCCTTCATGAAAGGACCATTCCCTGGGCAGGTCCTTTCAGCAGTTGGTCTTGATTCCAATAATGGAATTTACCCATTAGCATATGGGATTGTTGAGTCTGAAAACACAGAAAGCTGGAAGTGGTGTTTAGATAACCTTGGGGAAGACTTGGACCTTGGAAGAAACTCAAATTTTACTTTCATAAGTGACAGGCAAAAGGTAAAGCTGGAAGTGGTTTTTATATATTTGGTCATTTAAAGTGTGGTTTTTAGTTAATTATAATGATTGACAATTGATTCATGCAGGGTTTACATACTGCAGTTGATTAATTGTTTCCCAATGTTGAGCATAGATATTGTATCAGACATATTCATGACAATATGAGGAAAAGATGGAGGCAAACAGAGTACATAGACCACTTATGGAGGTGTGCATCAGCTACCACCATTCCTGAGTTTGAACATTTGATGAAGGAGTTTAGTCAGTATGATAAGGAGGCATGTGAATGGTTGAAGCAAATTCCTCCTGCACATTGGGCAAGGAGTCATTTTTCAGGTAATTCTATATATTCCAATTTGGTCCTTATGTCTTTTACTTAGTGAACTGTTATACTTGTATGTTAATTGTATTAAATGTTTTTTAATTGTAATGTACAAACAGGAAGAGCAGTTTCTGATGTGTTGATATCAAACATGTGTGAAGTGTTTAATGGGAAGATAGAGAAAGGAAGGGATAAACCTGTCATTGGATGTTTAGAATACATAAGGAAGTATCTAATGAAGAGGATATGCAATGTCATGAAGGAAATGAAAAAGGCTAAAGGTCCACTAACACCCACAACAACAGACATCCTAGCTGCAAGAAAAACAGTTGCTTCACAATACATTGCTAGGTGGAATGGGGGAGACAAGTATCAAGTCACAGGAGCTTTGTAGGATCAACATGTGGTTGATGTTAGAAACAAAACATGC